AGGGTTTAGGGGTTTAGGGCTTGAGGCTTAAAGGTTCCAGGGTTAGGAGTTTGTGGGGCTTAGGGATTACGGCTTAGGGTTTGGGGTCTTCGCTCTTGGCCATACAAGGGCTTGGAAGGGCGGAGCCAAAGTTCCCTTCTAAACCATAAACCATAAGGTTTATAGGGTTTTGGGATTAGGGTTTAATGTAGGGGCCTTAGTAAGGGGGCTCCTTACTACGATTATGGAATAATGGGCCCCAGAATGCTATTCTAATTTTTAAGGCCCCTAAACCCTAAACCCTAAACCCTATAGTAGCCCTAAACCCTACACCCTCAACCCTTCTCTTCCGTTCATTGCGACACAGAAACGGCGACTGGAACGGCCTCAGGGTTTGTGTAAGGGCTCTGAAGGGGTTGAAGGGTATTCTCTCGGTTTTATAAGGGTCCTTTTAGAGCTTTACGGCACTATGACAGCGGCTGTATACATATGTATATATACACATATATGGGTGGTTGTCAAAATTATGGTCCCTTTTGGGGTCCTTATTATAATACGGTACTTACTATTTAGGGTACCCCAAAAAGGGACCATAATTTTGACAGCTACCCATATGGGTTTATACAGGGTTCCATCGGATTCAATTAGGGCTTCCATCAGGGTCGAAAAGCTTCCAGTAAAGCTCGGAACTGAGGGGCCCCGTAGGTAGGAAGGCTTGCTTCGGGCTGGGGTAAGGTCGCGCCACTGTAGCCCTAACCCCAAAACCTAAAACCCCAAGCTCGGGTTTAGGGCTTAGGGTTTAGGGTTTAAGGTTTAGGGCTTAGGGTTTAGGGTTTAGGGTTACCTAAAACCCCAAGCTCCATTCAAGAATGTTGAGTCTGGGCGTGCAGATTTAGTGCCTGGAGCGTGAACCAGAAACCTGTATCTCAGACTTGAAGACCTAAAGCCTCAACCCTAAGCCCTTACCGTTGAACCCTAAATCCTAAACCCTAAACCCTAAACCCTCAACCCTAAACCCTAAAACCCTAAACCACCCTACACCCTAAACCCCTCAACCCCTCAACCCCTCAACCCCGAACGCTAAATCCAGGGTGGTCCTCGCGCTGCACTGCGGCCCTGACGGACCTCTCGCAGGCAGTCACCTCGATTCCAGCCGGTTGGGTTGGCGTCCCAGGCGCTTCGGGGAGTTCAGGGTGTAGGGCTTAGTGCACATTTAGGGTTCAGGGTTTAGGGTTCAGGGTTTAGGATTTGGGTTTAAGGTTGAGGGTTCAGCGCTCCTGTAGCCCCAAACCGCAGGGTTTCGGATCCACGTGTAGAGATTGCAAGGCGTTGTGGACTCCTTTTTGCTGCAGCAGCACTCTCGTAGCTGTTCATTTGCGCCGAGTCTGCGGTATGTTGGACTACATCGATCTCAAACCACCATCAGCTGAAAGCTGAACACGCTGAACACTCAGAATCCCACACGCTAAACTCTGAAGGCCCCACCCACAGACGCGCACACACACACACAAACACACACACACACACACACAAACACACACACACACACACATCGCCCAAAAACTTGGCCGAAATTCTGCCAAGGCCGGTCGGACGGACTTTACTTCGTTATGGAATATCGACAAAGCATCTACGCACGTCTAGGCTGTATCGTTGTATCGACATTGCATACTGTCGTCGTTCACGACATGCAGGCTTTGTGTGCGGTCAAGCTAGGCTTCAGGTCTCAACACCATGTGGATAGTTCTCTAGATTCGGGTACCATTGCGGGTCCTTTTTCTAAGGGCGTCGTACGATTTTGGGGACCTTAAAGGGGACCCTAATTTGAGAACTTATCAGATGGGCTTTCACGAGAAGCTGCGCGAGGAATGAACTCAGGCTTGTAAACCCTAAACCCTAAACCCTAAACTTTCGTTTGATGCTGAAAGCTTGGGCACGACTCTCCGAGAATAAGATGGAAGGTCCCGGAACCTTTATAGCAACCCTCATAGTAACGTAGGGACCTTCATGATTAGAATAGGGTTTTGGGGGTTCCTTATTATAACTATAGTATAGTATACCCCCCAAACCCTACTCTAATCATTAAGGCCCCTATAGTACCAAAACCAATGTGTCGCCTTGCGCCCTAAACCCTCTCATCCCGAGGGCTTCGGCTGAGGTTTCACCCGAGTTTCGCTATGGAAAGGAGCTCTTCGCCTATGGCGCGCGGGCTGCGCGGCAGGGCTTTGAGACGGGATTTGCCGAAACCCCATGGGAGATCGAAGAGCCCGTAAGCTTTCAGAGGATTTAGGTCTAGAAGTTCAGGGTTTTGAGAACTTGACCTGGATCCTTCTTTCTTTGGCCAGTTGGGGCCCCCTAAACCTTCAGTTGCGCCTTGCTCGCCTGACTTCCAGCACTTGCACAGGCCCCAAACTTGCCAACACGCAGGGATCCCGGCAGGTGCGAACGAGAAAGAGCAAGACATCGAGCAGAGCGGCACAGGTCAGCAACAACCGAAGTGTGTTCGGATCAAATTCCATAGCAATGCCACGAAACCACGAAGATCAGGCGCGTACTCTGCATTCCAAAAGGTATTCCTATTGGGGAACTGCAACAGAAGAAGAGGCCAGCCACGAACCGCCTGAGGCTGCTTTCATGTGCCTGGCGTTGCCTGGCAAGCAGCACTTCGGCAAGCCTCCTGCAGACGGCACTGGATTTCTGTCCCCTGAAGACGATGGCTCCGCGCTCAGCGAAGACGTGTGTTGCCCGTAGGTTCAAGTAAGGAAGAGGTAGAGTTTGTCAGGCAAGACTGTTTTCTTGAGGGGTCGGTGGCTGGAGCCTTTGTGCCAGGTGAGTCTGAAACTTGGCTAATTAATGGCTGATGGAGGATGACGAATGACGGGGATGCTCTCTTTGCGTCTTGCACTGTTTGTTTCTGCAAGTTCATCTTGGTCCCTGTGCAGCCTGCAGGCTACGACAGCGTCATTGGGCGCGAAGGCCAAAGGGGCATTGACGAGTGGGTGTTTTTCCGCCAAGACCAGCTGCTGCTGTGCTTCCTGGTTGACGAGCACCCTGGCCGAACACTGTCACATCAAGGCATCTCACGGAGTAACTTGACCTGTCATGCGTACGTCATGGCTTTTTCCGAGATCTCGATGTCCGACAAGTCTCTCAGTCGCTGAGCCTTTCCTGCAGCGATTTAGGCTCGGCCTGGTTGTGGCCAAGGAGGCCGCCTTTGCGGCGATCAAGGTGACTTTATCTATCCGAATCAGGGGATGTTTTAAGGTTTTGGGTTCAAGGCTTAGGTAAGTCGGAAGACTCAAGAGAATTGTGGATTTTGTTATTCTGATTTATGCCCGGCCTCTTTGTAGCTGCAGGGCTTGCATGGATTACTACGTCAGCCAAAACCCTTGCTTGTCGTTTTTGAAACACACGGGTGTGGGTTCGCTAGATAGGATTTGGCAATGCACTGGCTGCTTCTAGTGGCTCCCTGGTGAAGAACAGGCCGGCATGCTTGAAGCCCGAATCTTAGGGCCCTTAATAATCAGAATAGGGTTTCGACAAATTTGGTGTATATTTTAGTATAGTCATAATATTCAACATGGAGCCCTAAAGAATAGGGTTGGTAAATTTCCAGGCTTCTCTAGTGCCCAGCTGGGGGTTTCACAATAAGATCATTAAAGCTGGAAATGATTTGTCTTCATGCCCTTCAAGCCTCAGGCAAACCAGGGAAATGCAACCTCTAGATGCAGGTTACATACCAAAATGTCTCTTACCATTATTATTCCTAAGCGTTCCGTTATATCCTGGATAATCATGAAAGCTAGAGTATAACATGCCCCAAATTTGCCAACAAACATCTCGTAACGTACATGGCTGAAGGGGACCTCCGGAGACGTTGGTTCTGGGAGTTTCAGGGCGCCCAATGCCGCCCCCCAACCCAAGAGACGAGTGAATGGGGCGGCGGGCGGGTTTATATATTCGGGTTCGAGGCTTTCGGGTTTAACTTAGGATTGCGGGATGTTTTGGCTGGAGGGTTCAGGGCTTTAGGGACATTGACCTGAGGTTTTGCATCAGCCGTGGCCAGAGCCTCTGGGGGAGATTTCGCAGCTGCCGGCACCGGTGCAGGATGATTGTCTGGAGAATCGGGGGACAAAGCAAGACATGGGGAGAGACGACACAGAGGTAGCAGCAGCAGAAATATGGCTTCAAATGGAGGGACAAGATAAGATGGGTCACGAGTGAGAGTTGCAGCCAAGAAGAGCATCACACAAAACGAGTTGAGCCAGCGAGAGTGAAGGTAAAGTGTGAAGGTGCAAAAGGCCCGCATACGCACGCGTATGGGAAGACCGCTGCTGAATGGATGCAGACGTTTTGACAGCGACAGTACAGGTAGGGACATGATCATGCAACACGTTTAGCGGTGTAGGGCCTAGGCTTAGGTTATTGTTCTGGAGGAGATGCAGACTGGCCGGTGGCAGCGCCGTCATGCACCGGATGCCGGGGCACCCACCGATGAGGCCGATATGTCACTTGAATCGGAAAGCTATCCGTGTCCCATAAAAGATCGATGCTGAGCTTGCTGCCGCCAATGTAACGGGAAACTTAAGTTAATATGAGAAAACAAAAGCATTGCAACTGCCCTTGGACAACACCAAAACCCGTTTGAAGCACGGTCCAAAATGAGCGCTGGGAGTGAGTTTATATTTAGTACTCCTTACGGATATTGGTGCAAGTGCATCTGGGTTGTCTTTCGGTGGTCCAGCAATCTGGCACCATCTGTTATATGCGAGGCGCTCCTTCGACAGCAAAATCAGTTGTTTGGTTGGTCCGGCTTCGACTAACTATTCTTGTTGGAAGGAATAGTTAAGTTGTTGCTGCGTGCCGCTTGGAGATCAAGCATCTCAGCAGCAGGAGCTGCAGCACCACCGCCAAAAGCAGGAATAAGTGGTGGTGGTGATGGTGGTGGTAGTGGTAGTTGTGTAGTTGTAGTTGTTGTTGTGATAGAAGGGTTAGGTCGTCGTGGTTTCGGTGGCGGCGCTGGCGCTGGTGCTGAGGATGGTCGTGGTAGTCGTAGTCGTAGTAGCAGTAGCAGTCGCAGTAGCAGTCGCAGTAGCAGCAGCAGTAGTAGCAGTTGTTGTTGTAGTAGTCGTCATCATAGTAGTAGTAGTAGTCGTCGTCGTCGTCGTCGTAGTAGTCGTCGTCGTCGTCGTCGTCGTCGTAGTGGCAGCAGCAGCAGCAGCAGGAGTTCCAGAAGAAGAAAAAGGGGAAGAAGAACAAGAAGTAGTAGTAGTAGTAGTAGTAGTAGTAGTAGTAGTAGTCTTCGTCGTAGCTGTAGTAGCAGTACTACTGGTAAGTAGTAGCTGTAGTAGCGTTGGCAGCAGCACTAGCAGCCGCAGCAGCAGCAGCAGCAGCAGCAGCAGCAGTCGTGTCGTAGAAGCACGGACCGCCTCGTCCTCAGCTCAAGCATCCACTCTTTTTTCGCGTTGACTGTTAATACTCTCACGGCATAATACGGGACTTTGGCAAACAGAACAAATGGCGAAAACGAATTCGGCGAACAACAACTTCACATTAATTACAGACAGCGTCACCTGAACAAGTAAAAAACAGAATTAGCTTGGGAAGCTTGAAGTTTAGAGGGTCATGAACATGAAAGACAGTGCCCCGCATAGTAGCACCTTACTGCGTGCAGCCTGTACCATGACGGATACGTTTGTCAGAAGGGACCGCGTCGTAGGTGACTAGCCCGCAGTGCCGACATGCCAATGGCATCTTCCCAAAAGAAGGGCTCACCATGTTCAACACTACACCACACAAAGCAAGGGAAGCTGCGCCCATAGCTCCATGAACGTTTGTGTAAGATTTCATGGGAGACACCGTTGTCCCAGAGGCCGTGGAGAGCTACAGCACCGGCCGCTGGAGAGATGGGCGGCGTCAAGCACAGCTGGCTTGTGGCTAAAAAGCTGGGGATTTGAAAGTTGTCTCAAGCTGTGAGTCAGCGTAGGTAAACCATGTAAATCCGTCTACAGTGAGGTTTACCGGGGGATCGAGGAAGCCCATACAGCTGAATCTCGCGCCTGGATTTATTGATCATGTTTGTTTTTCCTGCGTATGCCGCTTCTTCTGCTGTTGCTGCCATGGTCGTCGTCCTCGTCGTGGGGCGAATGGCGGTGCTACTTTCGTGGTCTTGCTTGTGGTGGCTGTCTTTGTCGTTTCGCTATACTGTTGTAGCCGCTATTCAAGTTCAATATCGTAGACACCGTTTGGTCCAAATGCACGGATTGCCAGATACCACGCCGCAGGACTTCCTGGTGGCTCTCGAACAGCATTAGCCAATTCTTACATGGCTACTTGTAAGCCTCAATAGGCACACAGGCAGAATGATAGATTAACAGAACGACAGACCGATCGAGAGAGACAGACAGACAGACAGACA